CACTTTCTTTTCTTTTCCTAATACGTATGTACAACAAACAGTTCGTGTCTGAACATGGTTAACATTTTAGCAATCTGGCATATAAACAGTTCTGTCAAGACAAAACACAGATTTTAAATGTTTGGCTCTGGCAGACCTTTTAGTGCTGCTGGAATGTTTCCTATTTTCAAGGTTACCTAATAAGCCTCTTAACTTATGGACAACTTCACTGAGTAATACTGATATCGTTGAATCATTTACCAATGACTGAAGCATACTCAGTGAAATAATGCAGCCATTCCTTTACAAGAAATGCAGGGGTACAGAAGGAATAGATTATTCCCTCCCCTCTCATCGCCTCCCCTCCCCTCCCCTCTCCTCTCCTCTCCTCATGGTTTATAAACATTTATGGTTTATGGGATATATTGCCCAGGTATACATGTCTGTCATCAACCAAAGAAAGGCATAACATGCTGGAAAGTTCATCACAGTGATTTCCCATCTCTTCTGTTTTGTTTTGGTTCACTGCCAACCGCAAGACTAAGCACTACGCTGTCTTGGTGAGAGTGGTTTGCTCATCTGTGACAAAGGAAAGATCTGGGTCTTTTATGCACATTTCTCATATTATGAAGTCCTTGTCATCTGATCAACACTCATTATTCTTTGGGAACAAGAGAGGAATTGGGATGAGTGTTAAAAAGGCTAGACTTTCTTAATCTCACATGTGGCCTGTCAATTTTCAGCTTGGGACTGCTTGGCAAGGAAAGCAAACCAATGTCCACACATCTATTTTTCCTGTGCCAAAGATTTTTATTGCACAGGGGTTGTCAATTTGGCACTCATCATTGACGTTAACGTTTAGAGGGGAAAGGCTTTTCTGGAATGGTCAAAGAGAGAAAGTGATCCATGTATTTGCATTTTAGTACTATTAGCGGTGCCGTATTCAGAGCAGCTCTCTGGTCTGAGGATGGATTTGCAGGGTAACTGCATTTTTGTAGGTTTCCTTTGAAACAGAAACAAAACAGAAAAGGAAGCACCAAACCACGATTTTAAAAATAGGATGCTTTAAGATGCCTCCTGGAAGTCACAGGCTGTCCTTATATCGTTCAATTTTTTGAATTCTTCAAGAGTGAGAACAGACTCAGTTGTCAACAGAGTGCTGTTCACAGAAACTAGGCAGGAAAATGAAAGAAGGCTCGCTATTGTTCGGCGATGTGGTGTAGGCTGCAAGAATGCGTTGGGAATGCAGGGCCTGCATGTCAGGCAGAGAGAGAGGTCTTTGTGTGAAAACACTGAAGCAGAATGTCAATCATATAAATAACTATTGTCTCATTTTTTTATCTTGATCATTGCTATCACACTTCTTCAACTGGAGTCCATAAGGATAGTTATCAATTCTTGGAGCATACTGGTATCTAATCGAGGCTGTCCAGATACTGCATGCAGGGGAGCTGACCTACCATGAAGTGGAGAACAGAGTTGGAAGCGTCATACCTCTCATGTGTCCTCTCCTTTATATCACATTCTGATCTAGTCTTGATCATCATTTATGGATAGGTAACATACAGCCACCCTGCTCTGGTGTCACTTAGAAGCAGCATTGTTTTTTGCTAAATGTCTTTATCATTCCCCAAAGGAATGTGCACGATTTCAAATATTCATAATTGAAAAAGGAAAATGTTGGCTAATAGAAAGGAAAGCTGCACATTTATGCAAGTGTAAAAAACATGCTTTATCTCTACAATGGTTAACCTTGTGTCTGGGTGCAATGATGTAAGCACTGTTATGAAATTCCTCAAAATCCTGAACAAAATAGAGTCAACATGCCTGAAAATGGTGCATTTGTGATTAAAATAATTTTACTCTTTAAGCAAATTAACACTTGAAACAGAAGCTTGCAAAGCTGGGAATAACATACCTGTTATGACCTGAATTAAATTGACCTCCTCTGAAGTCTCGCTTCTCATGGGTTGGTGTTAGTTTGTGATGCTTAAGGCAGATCCGCCTTTGAGCTAACACATCACTGTTTTGCTTGCCAGTAATGGGAGGAGATCACATACTGAAAAAATCCACCCCACTGGGAGAAGTTGAGCCAGTATTTTGTTAGCCTACACCATGTGCGGTGTAGCAATCATAAGGGATCTGTTTCAGCGGAGTCATTTAGGGCCAGGAGGAGCAAATCCTGCAAGCTGTTTTGAATACCCGTGCAGACGTGGCACTCAGAGGTGAGAGCTGCTGGGTGAACAAGCAGGAGATAAGCGGTACCTCCTGAGGTACCTGAGCAGTACAGGGGACCCAGTTCTGGACCATAAAATCAGGGAGAATTTTGCCAAAAAGTTACCTTTAATCACGGCGTTGCGGAGTACTGGCCACATTATTATTCCTGTGTACCAAGGCCCAGCTGGGATGGCCATATCTCACAACCACTTCTTCCTGACATGGTGACTAATCTAGGGAGCAAGGAGTAGAGTGGGACAGCTAATAACAAATGCCTCTTAAGTCACACGTCCTTAGGCTCCTAGCATACTCCATTCCATTTTATCCTGAGTATTGACAAGCAAGAGCATTTGACCATAGGATATGGGCTTTCCTCCTCCTCAGGTATAACTTCTGGAAACTTTAAGTCAGTATTACTAGGGTTCTCACCAAGGGAAGCTGTCCTAAGTGCCACCACACCACCTCTAACCATTTACCAGCAGAGGTATGAATTGAGACAGGAAGCTGATCCATGTTAAAACCACCCGATCTTCTACCAAATTAGTTTTAACCCTATACAGGCTTTTTGGGCCAGATGACCATCTAGCTGCACAAACAAGTTATATTAACAAGAGAGAAGGCAGCAGGGACAGGAGGAGGCAAGGAGCTAGGAGAGATCAGGGCAGCTTGTGCTTCAGCTCCATCTCAAGGCAACACTCACTGTGCACCTCCATACCTGCTCCAGGACGTGGGAGCTTAGACTTCTACTGATCCACATCTCTCTCCTGTGTTGCACCTTTAGCCACCATATGTTCTTTACTGTTTTCCAAACACATACTCGAGGTCTTCTTGAAGAGAGCCTGAAGAGCATGGACTTCAGGGCAATCATGTTTCTTCACCAGCCTATGCCACTGTTTATTTGGTATAGTGAATAAAGTATAGGTCATAACAAAATCTCAGTTTGTTTAAATCAGTGTAGCTGTCTTCATTTCAGTAGGGCTGTGCTGATTTGTACCAGCTGAAGATTTATTTCACTACCTCAGATTTCTTCTTCGTTTTTATAGCAACTGTAGCTGTATAGCACTTAATAACAGCACGTTATTATGTTAGAGTTTTCCATGATTCATTTCAGGAATTCAAAGTACACATAACCATTTGTACTTACTGCTTAAATGCTTTGCAGAAAATCATCTTGATTGTAGAAGCAAATCTTGTTTGTGTGCAAAAGTACTGCTAATTTGTCCAAAACTGGAAATTGCCAAAGTGACCAGAACACAGAAACCTACAGGATGCATGTGCTGTTGTGAATGGCCAATAACTGAAGAAAGTTGTATATTGTTTTACAAAATTTTAAAATGTTTTTCAGACTCTAACCCATGAAAAATATTCAGTTTCATTCTAGAGGGTAAAAACCTTTGGAGAAAGATTTTACATCTGTTCTATTTTGGTTACAAAAGCAGTAATTTTTTTCCCCCATTAAAACACAATTCAGAACATATTTTAATATGAAATCCTGCAAAATCTTACCGAAAAAAGTTGTTACAGTTCCTTGGGGAAGAGGGAAGGGTTGTTTCTTTTGCATTTGTCTTGTGTTGTGAGGGTGTAAAAAGGAAA